TAATAAGAAATGCTGATATCTTCTTTTCATTGCCAAGTATACAATGTGTCTGATATTTCTTGGCTGTGCCCAAGATTTTCTTTTTTATCATTGATTTTCAGTAATTTGACTTATCATTTACTTTTGTGTAGGTTTTGCCGAGCTTTTGACCTATAAATTGATGTTTTTCTCTAAAATTGGTAAATTACTGGCCATTATTTCTTTAAATATTTTTTCTCCACCCTTTCCTTTTTTTTCAACTTCCTGGGACTTCAATAAATTAGACAGTTCGACATTGTCTCATTGATCCCCGAGGTCTGTTTGTTTCCTTTTATCTTTTCTGTTCTTCAGATTGGATAATGTCTATTGATCTGCTGTGTAGTTCACTAACTTTATAGAAAATCATTTCCTAATAATTCCCAATCTGCTGTTTGTTCTATAAATATTTTATTTGAGTTATTGAGATGTTCAATTCTTTATTTCTCTTTTTTAATATAATTTCTATTCTTTTACTGATAGTTCCTATCTGCTAACTCACCCAGATAATTTTTGTAATTATTTGAATGCAATTTCCTTAACTAAAAAAAAATTTAAATAGCTTCTTTCTAGTCTTTATTATGTTCACTATCTGTACCATTTGGGGATCAGTTTCTGTTAACTGGTTGGTTCTCCCCAGCCAGCTTGACTGTGGGTCTTATTTCCTATTTCTTTGCATGTCTAGTAATTTTTTGTTTGTGTGCCTGATATAAATAATACATTATAGAGACTCCAAAGTCTGTTTTTTGCTCTCAAGAATATTTACCTTTTTTTCTAGTAGGCTCTTCAGTTATTGTTGCTCACCTTGAACTTGTGTATGCTTGGTTTTGTGCTTTATTAGGGCAGGTTTATGGAAAAGTTATTCCCAAGTTCCTTTAGTGTGATAGAACTCAACTCCCAAACCTACCTCTCCTTCAGACAGGGCTTTGTTTCTACCATTGTTACAGTATGTCTAGGTGGGATCCTTATTCCTGAAGTGAGGACATTCTGGCATCTCAGCTGGTCCCAATCCCATTTAATCCTGTAGCCACCACACTCTGTTAAGTTCCACATAGTATGCATTGAACCATGCATAGCCCGGTCCTTGAACAAGGACTCAAGGACTTGTAAGGAACCCCCACAGTCCACAGCACCCTCAAAACACCCAGCTCCCATTTTGCTACCTCATTCCCTCAAATTTCAGCCCTCTAGCTTTCCCAACATGACTGCTGTGTTCTACCTGGAATTTGTGGTCAGAACATTGTCCCTTGGCAAAGAACACTGAGGCTTGCTCATCAGCTGACCTCCTCTGCCTGTTGTCTGTCTGTAAACAGTTACGGTGTGTGTTTTGTTCACTTTCATGGTTGTTTACAGTGAGATGACTAGTCTGGTATCAGTTACTGTATCATAACCACTTTTCTATGTCCTTGCTTTATGAAGGATAAGCCTATTTATTTGCCAGTCATAGTTCTTCATTGTGAATCGTACTTTTTATCATTGTTTAAGTGTCATAGATGATCTTAGTGCTTTGGCTCTAAATTTAAATTTTTTCTATTACTAAATGGGCTCCCTTTTTTCTTGTTTTCATTTTCCCAGTATATCTGCCAGTCACTCCTTTGGAGTCTCATACATAGCAGAGATCTGCATTTACCTTTGGAATCTGACCATAAAACTGTTGAGTATATTTGAATTTTTATTATCTTATGTAAATATATAGAGCAAATACTAGGAAAATAAGGTGGTTCGTGTCAGGTGGAAAAGAAGGAAATAATGCTGATTTTTTTTCATTATTTATGGTGGAATGTCAGATAATCTCTCAAGTGGGAKGTTGACTATTATGTCTTTGACTGCATATGACAAACAATGAGCAAATCAAGTGAACTTAACCCACATCCTCTCATTACCCCCTTCCATATTTCTGTTTATTACATAACCAGTTCTATAACCATAATCCCCATGTTTTAGACTTAATCCTACAGGTAAGCAGACTTAGCACTGTCTGCCAGACCATTTGCTGTAGTCCTCCAGTTATCTTTTATAAGAGTGAAGTTAATCTTGTTCTTCCAGAAGAGCTTATGGGAGCAATATTCTTTTGAGTTCTTACATGTTCAAAAATGTGTATCTATTGTTTTTAAGAGTTGAGTGACAGTTTGGCTGGATATAAAATTTTTGGACCACACTTCCTTTCTCAGCYCCTATGAGCATCACTCCACTGTCTATTGGCACAGATATAGCCATAGAACATTCTGAGGACAGCCTACACTTTATCTTCATAATCTTTTTACCTGACTACCAAAAAACTTTAGTAGCTATTAGATCTAGTATTTTACTAGAACATATCTTTTCTTTCTTTCTTTTTTTTTTCTTTTTTTGGTACCAGGGATTGAACCTAGAGGTACTTAACCACTGAGCCACATCCCCAGCCCTTCTTTATATTTTATTTAGAGACAAGGTCTCACTGAGTGGCTTAGTGCCTTTCTAAGTTGCTGAGACTAGCTTTGAACTTGTGATCCTCCTGCTTCTGCCTCCTGAGCCACTGAGATTAAAACGTGTACCACCACACCTGGCTAGAGCATATCTTAATGTTGATTGCTATATAATCTTTCTTTGGACTTAAATTGTAATACTTCAATTTCAAGAAATTAATATTGCTTTTCTAAATCAGTGAGTCCCAATATCTCATCTCTCATTACCCTCCTGTATTCTCTCCTATTCATTTGAACTTTTTATTTTCCTAATTTTTCTCACTTTTTATCCTTCCTGCCCTCCATGTTCTTCCTGTCTTTTTTCAGGGTCTACTCCTGTTTCTGCTTCCCTTTCATTTCTTTGAGTTTTTTCTTCCATTTATTTTTTGATCTCTGCCATTTCTAATCTCCTCTGTATTTTGCTTGTTTTATAGAAGTAATTTGTAGAGGTAATTTAATTCATGAAGTTTTATTTTGTTAATTTATGGCTAAATTGCTTTGTGACCCTTTCCATAGCCTTTGATAAATCCTGTCATTTGTTTTTCCCGTTTCTCTCCTCTTTTTTCTTTGTGCTATCTTTGTAGAAATGGTGATTTCCAACTGAAGATCATATGGCCCTATTAGGAGGCTCTTAAGAAAAAAAGGCAAAAGGGCTGGGGATGTGGCTCAAGTGGTAGCGTGCGTGAGGCACTGGGTTCRATCCTCAGCACCACATAAAAATAAAATGAAGAAGAAGAAAGGCTGATACAAAGACTTCTTGGTACCCATGGCCAGGCCACACACAGAGAATCAATTAGTGGAAAAAAATCACTATCATTAGGTATCACAGTGTTGGCAAAGTGCCTTTGTCATTAAGTGTGGGAACAGAGATGCCAGATACCTTGCAATGCATGGTACAGTTCTACATAACCAAGAATGCTGTGTAATAGTTTTTCATTCATTACGACCAAATACCTGAAGCAGGCCAACTTTATAAAGACGCTTATTTAAAGTTCTGGAGGTTCAAAGTCCAAGATTGGTTGGTTGACCCAAAGGTTTGTCCTCAGCAGGGCCCAGTGGTGGATGGTATCATATCAGGATGGGACCATGTGTAAAGGAATAGATTACATCAGCAGGCAGGAAGCCAGAGAGGCTGGGGTTCCAAAATTCCTTACAAGGGCACATCCCCAACTGAGCTAAGGATCTTCCATTAGGCCCCAACTCTTAAAGATTTCATACCATCATCACCACACTGAAGACCAGACTTGCAACACAGAAACCTTTAGTGAGCACATACTTAAATATACTTAAACCACAGCATATTGTGACCATGAAGGCAGCTTTGATTCCTTACTCACTTCTGGAGGCATGTGTCAGGGAGGGGTTAAGCAGGAGGCGTCCCATTTGCCCAGCACTGAGCATGGGGGCACTATATTCTGACAACTTCATGCAGGTAGAAAGAACCTATGTAATTCCTTATTTTGCCCAGTGCCCTCCTGCCCATTTCTCAGAACCAACCAGAGACTAGGTTTCACCCACAGCCCAGTGAGCAGCACTACTGTACAGCTTTTCTTGCCACCTCCGGTGTTGTCTCCTTCATTCTGTGTCTTGCTCCATTTTCTGTTGCTATACTAAAATACCTGAGACTAGATAATTTATAAATAACAGCAGCCACAGTTCTGGAAGTTAGAAAATCCAAGAGTATAGTGCCAGTATTGGGTGAGGGCCTTCTTGCTTCATGATGCCATGGCAGAAGGCATCCCATGGTGAGACAGAGCAAGTGTGCTAGCTCAAATTTTTTTTTCTTATAAAAGCACTAATACCATCACAAATGCCCCATCCTCATGAACTCATCTAATCCTATTTACTCCCAAGAGTTCCACCTCCAAATACCATCATCATAAGAATTGAGGATTAATTTTTCCAACACATGAATTTTGGGGGTGGGGAGCATATTGAAACCACAGGACCCTATCTGCACCCTGTTGGTTCCTACTCTTGTCAGCTCTCCAACCCCTTCCATGTTTCAGTGTTTGACTTTACTCTTAGTGTTTCTGAAGATGAAATTTGTGTTCCTTATTCCCCTTGCGCTTTGAGGTAGTGGCCAGGAAAAATACTGACTTCATGGGTGCAGTCAAGTTAGAAATGTTGCCTCTTACTTAGGGTACAGTATATTCCCCATTATGAGGGATCCTAGGACAAGTTGTGTTGAGCTCTCTGCTGAGGGCTGGAAATTCCCTGTCTACTGACCCAAGGGCTCCTTGCTGATGAGCGTGGGAGTCAGAGCAGGTCCAGAGAAGAAGCAACTCTGCGGGGTTTCAGGCTAACCTGAGGGATATCTGAAGTCTCCCATCATGGCCAAGGGTTTGGCAGAGAGCAAAGAGTTTGTGAGGAAGAAGACAAGGAGGAGGAGCTCAACCACAGGAAGCACATAGCTATCAGGGAACCCATGGCTATCTCCTGGTTCCAGTTATGGGATAGGACAGCAGGATATTCATGGTCAGGTCTAACACAGGCTTAGGAACAGCCTAACGTTTCTCCCCACCACCCTCTCTGTTACAGGTGTGCCACACTCATGAACTCACCAATCCTGGGATTGCTGATGTCATGATCCGGCCAGATCGCAAGATCCTGGCTACTGCAGGTTGGGACCATCGCATCCGCATATTTCACTGGAGAACAATGAAACCACTGGCTGTGTTGGCCTTCCACAGTGCTTCTGTCCACTGTGTGGCCTTTGCTGCTGATGGCTTATTGGCTGCGGGATCCAAGGACCAGCGCATCAGCATTTGGTCACTGTACCAACGCACATGACCTGGGCACTCCCTTCTTGAAATACTCAAAAGACCGAAGGTGGACCTCTCACTCCAGCCTTGACCCAGTCATGTGAAAACTGATGCTCAAAGGCCTTTGAGGATCATCAGCTATCCAAAGAGCATGGAGTTCTCACTGTCTTTATGAGGCTTGCTATTTCTTTCATGAACCACATTGTCCATATGACGATATCTCTGGTGACCTCCCAAATACCTGGCACCTGTGGCCTGATGATAGGCATGGTTCTTGCTGATGCCAAATGGCAAATAGCCCTGTCCAACAGCTTTGTCCTCACTGAAACAAAGCCATGAACACAGTGCCTAATGGCCCATTCTTGTCATCCTCATCTTCTGTGGGTACTCTAGAAAGAATGGCCTTGGAAGGATGAGGTGAACAGCAGGAGAGGGGGTCAGGCCTCACAAAATGGTCACCCTCCTGCAGCCTTACCTGCACTACTCCCAGGTCTCCAAAAGCCCCTGAGGCAGCATCTGCCCTGCCTCATTTTTGACCCTGAGGTCCCTGGGTATACAGTACCAACATTCTTGAGAACCTCTGGTCCAGGCACTAAGCCCCATGGGTGGGGCCTCTACCACCCCACCCTACCCCCATTTATGTCCCCATTGTCTTTGGCATTATCACAGTAATCACAGAAATAGAATAGAGCTGGGGCTGAGGATATAGCTCAGTGATAGAATCCTAAGTTCACTCCCCAGCTGTGGGGGGGAAGGGGGACTAGGGCCAACAGCCATGAGGCATGTGTTCCAGACAAAGGACAAGAATGCTGTGAGTCAATGGGAAATCTGCTAAATGCAGAAATGTTCTCTTACAAAATGTCTAAGGAGAGCTGCTGCTCATGGACTGCCAATATCTCACCTGGAGACAAAAGATGGTAAAAAGGTGGTATTGGCGGAGACACATACCTGGCATCTGGTCCCTGGCTCTTGCTTTTTTTTTTTTTTGTCTCATGCATGCTAGGCAAGTGCCCTACCATGGAGCCACACCCCCACATCCCCTGCTTAAGGGCACAAGCAGGATAAAATAGGCTGCTGACTAGGAGCCTGGGCCAGAACTATGCAGTGTTGAGCAGTAAGCTGATCATGTCTTGTGGCTAAAACTATAGATAGATAGATAGATAGATAGACAGACAGACTGACAGACAGACTTTATTTTATTTATTTATCTTTAGTGGTGCTGAGGATCGAACCCAGGGCCTCACATATGATGGGCAAGTGCCCTACCACTGAGCTACAGCCCTAGTCCTTGTGGCTAAATCTTTTTTTTTTCTTTTTTTTTTTTTTACATTTCATATATTTTTATTTTTATATTTTTAGAAAATCATTTCATGTCAGAAAAGTGCTATAATCAACAAATATTTGAAGTAAAAAAATTATGTATACAAACCATAGTGTTTGACAATAAAAGATTCTAATTTCATATGTTGGCATAATCATTTTCAATGTTTCCTAAAATTACAACATTTTGTCATCAAGTGGCATTGTGGCTAAATCTTGATGTGCGGGGACAAAGGCAGCGAATAGGCCCTCAACCTTGTATGCTTCATATGGTCCTGTTCCTGCATACCAGCCATGATCTTTGTATGGCTGGATAAGGCAGGCTGCATTCCACCCTTCAAGCAGATTCATGTCCTCCAAAGCACTATAGCTGGTGGTGTGGAAAGCTGGTGGCCCAGGATTTCTGCTTGCTCAGCTGAGCTGCCTGGAATAGCAGTGAAACCAACTCTATGAGAGCACCGGAGTCCAAGAGTCTTGACTGATGTTTGTCCAGTTTATGTCCTACCTGATGAACATTGCTCTGGCACTGGGAACCTAATTTTGGGTCCCTCCCTTCCCCTTGCCCTAGCATCCCCAGAGGAAACCCAGCCCAGGATAGCCCCTGGTGCTTCTTTTTTTTTTTTTTGTTTTTTGTTTTTAGTTGTAGGTAGACACAATAACCTTCATTTTATTTTTATGTGGTGCTGAGAATCGAACCCAGTGCCTCACGCATGCTAGGCAAGCACTCTAAAACTGAGCCACAACCACAGCCACAGCCCCTGGTACTTCTGATGTAAGGTTCAAATTCAGTATTCACCATCATAGGAAACAAGTTCAGGCTGAGGATGTAGCTCAATGTTAGATCGCTTGCCTAGCATGTACAAAGTCCTAGGTTTGATTCCCTACCCGCGCGCGCGCGCACACACACACACACACACACACACACACACACACATACCCTGAATTATTACTTTCAGATCCTCCTGGGCAAGGAAAGTGCAATGAGTCAAGAGGACAGTCCTCCATGCCCAGATCATACAAAACAGGAATGGAGAGTCAGGCAAAAAGAGCACAACTAGTAGTATATATAGGGCAAGAGTACGTGAGTTGCTTTAAGTTTATTAGCAAGTATTTGACTGATCTGTTTAAAGGAAACAGCCTGAAAAGTGGAAGCCCAAAAATGCAAGGCAGGAGAGATGCCTTCAGGTTCTTATCTCTGGTCATGGACTTGAGCCACGTGTGTAATGTTCTGGTGCCCAGATATCCTCCTGTCCAATGCCACAGAGTGGATTTTCTCCAGTTACCAATTTATCACAATAAAAATAGCCTGTTTTCCTTAGAGGTGCTGCTATTCCCTGGATCAGTCAGTAAGGCCTTCCTGAGAAGTCAAGAGGCTAGTGGTAGTCATCCATCTCATAGATAGACTACACAACAGGACTTGGGCAGGCCACCTATTTCCTTTCCCCATCACACCTGGAAGTGGCAGTCAGTACACATCTGCTGACAGGCRTGAGCCCTTCTGCTCTCTGAGGACTACGTACCCATGTGCCCACAAAAGTGGTGCTCTGGGAAAACATTCCTAGGGCCCAGCAACTTTTCTGCATACTCTGCATACATGGTCTGCAGGATCCAGGTAGCTTTGCAAATGTAGCCCCGCCTTTTCTGACTATTTCAGCTGCTAACCAAGCAACCTTCTTTAGGACTTGAACTTAAGTGCTTATTTCCTTCATATCATTTTAATATTGCACCAACCATAATGGCTAAACCATGAGGATTCAATACTGTGGATCAGCATTATCTTCTAAGCAAACAGAAAAGAAAATGTGATTCACAGGTGACACCTGGAGTTCCATGCAGTGTCCCTGGGATGAGCCTGGGGATGGTGGCTCCTAAAGGCAGTATGTTGGACCCCAGCCTCACTCATGCAGCAAGACATTTCCCAGTGCATCCAGCCTGTCAACTGAGAGAGGCACAAATTTCATTTATCTGCCTCTCCAAATGTTCTTCCATAACATTCTTTGACATAGTGGGGAGGCCACTCACAACGAAAGAAAACTGGTGTTTAGAAGTAGCAATAGACATTTCTTGTGTTCTGTGCTGAGTCTGATTGGTGTATTCTACTTTTTTTTTTTTTTTTTTTGTACCTGGGATTGAATTCAGGGGCGTTTGACCAATGAGCCATATCCCCAACCCTATTTTGTATTTTATTTAGTGACAGGTCTCACTGAGTTGCTTAGCACTCACTTGCCTGCTGAGGCTGGCTTTGAACTCACAATCCTCCTGCCTCAGCCTCCTAAGCTGCTGGGATTACAGGTGTGCACCACTGCGCCCAGCTCCATAATGTTCTTATTGGAAGAGTTTCTGTGGGTCAGGAACACAGTTGTGGTGTGGTCATCCTCTGCTCAGGGCCTCACAAGGCTGCAGTCAGGGTGACAGCAGCCTGGGCTCCTCTCCTATTCAAACCCAGATCCTGTGGCTGTAGGATAGAGCTCACAGCTCTGTGGTGTTGACCCAGGACCCTAGGCCCCTCTCATCAGTACACTGTGAATAGTAGTGTATCTTCACAGTGAGCAGGAGTGGTCTTGGGATAGTCTGTTCAGTGACTTGGGTGCCCCAGGTGGGGTTCAGATAGGCTGCAGAGCTGATGAGCTCTAAGAGAGATCCAACATCCCCAGCTCCCACCTCTGGTGGGTAGGGGCACCTCATAGGAACAGAAGAAGGTGTGCAGCTCCAGACAGGGGCACCAAGGCATGTTCTGGCATGTCTACCTGGTAAGGTTCTACCTCTAGAAGAATCTGCTACCAGTGCCAAGGGCCTCCTACCTTAATATTCAATGCTACCATGTGCCACTCATTCAGCCCCATGGATGCAATCATTATCCACCCAGCAGGTAGGCAACACTTATCCAGTATTATGCTGTCCCTCTCTGACAAATGGCCCTGGGAATGCTTTCTTCTCCCCCCCCCCACCAAGTGTCCCAGACAGGATCCTAATCATGAACTCTGGGAATAGGTACTCAAGACCCTGCATTTTGCCACAGGTGACCTTACAGATGGCCTGGGCTCAACACCTGGATGCTAAGGAGTCAGTTGACACCATGAAATTATCCAAGGAAGGACTCCCAAAGCAATGTGTCCAGGGAAGCCACCACCACAGCCTAGGACTTGCTATGTTGGCGTGAGGTGTGTGTCTCCACACTCCTCAGGCAGTGATGTTCACTCAGGTGTTTCCCATCTGTGTCTGCCAAGAAGTTGCAGAATTCCCTCTGCACAAAAGGACTGTTTGCACAAAGAGAAAACATCCCTTCAGGGGGTTCTTTAGAAATGCTTGATTCTCAACTAGCTATAACTTCATGTGGAAACCTAGCGTGGCAGAAAACAAGCTTGCACTGATGACAACATTAAAGCTGAACTTGCTGTGCACTTGTGCCCTGTGCAGGCGAACTACCCAGCCAAGCCATGAGCCCCACCAGCTCCACAACTCTAGGAAGAAGTGGCTGTTCCAGAGTCTACCTGGACTCACCTCTTCATACCAGGTTTTCCAGCATGCCCTTCCTGTGAGTGGTTTCCACATCTACCTTAGGAATGAAGGTCCTCTTGGGAAACTCAGCAGGTGAGGCCCTTCTGAGATTTCCCTCTCACTGTTAGCTTACCAGGGTCTGTGAGCTACAGCTCAGCCCCCATCCCCAGTGCTGGTTCTTAGTGGGCCCCTGTGAAGGAGCCAGGCAGCAGGGAAGCAACTGCTTCCTTGCAAAAGGCACAGATGAGAAGGGCCAGGTACCTGCTCCTGAGCAGGGCAGATTGTCCACCAGGCTGAGACTGGCTAGCTCTACAATAAAGGTTCTAAGGTTCTGCACCAAAGGGCAAATAAGGAATAAACTATGGWCCAAGAAGAAGTAGGACATGGCCATGGGTGTGCCAAAAAACAAACAAACAAAAAAAAAATGAGTAGTGGTTGCTCATGGCCTTTAAATGGGCTGTTTTTACATTCCATCCCTGCTGGCCAGGGGAGGGGGGAACACTAAGATCAACAGTGCATCCATCCACTGCTGCCTGCTCTACACAT